ATCTCTATTGGCATTATCTACTCTTGTGTGTATTTAAAATGTCTACGAGCTTCTGGTTCGCAAGTTACTACTGAACTTGATGAAAGGCCTGATTGTTGGCGGCAACGTGTTCCAATACACGCGATAAATGTTCTTCGATTATATCCTTGGGTCTCAGAATGTACTTCTGAACATCTCAAAAATGACTTTCAACTAGAATGAAGGAGACAGAGCAGATATATCATAATAAAATGGTTTTTGTGCTTCAGTTCAGAGAGTAATGTGTCACAGGAAAGATATACTGTCAATTAATATTTTACTTGAAGATATTGTATGAATGGAAAATATCATAGAATAAACTCATCTGGAAATTATGTAAATTTTATAAATATTCACCAGAATAATGATGTCAGTATTATTACGATATAAACAATTCACAGTGCATCGTGATGGCAAGCAGCCACCTAGTGGTGACCACATTGCAAACTTGACTGATAGAATTCAGTATGTACTAAAATCAAGGATTAGACACATTACACTAGTTACTGACTAGTTTCCAATCAAAGTATGCAACGTACTGATCATAATCATATCATAGCGCTCACATAACTTTCAGGCTCTGACGATAGAGTTCCATTAATTCTTATCCTTTGCTTTAATTGGCAATAATATTTCTTATATGACTGGTAGTGGTGTTGAGTCATTCCTATTGCCCCGAGTGTTAGATATACATCGGATGATCAAAGATTCAATGGTCAACCTCTCCATCCACTTACTTGGATTTCTTTTTGAGAATTGTAACTTTGTCCCACTGTGTTGTGTGATAATGTAATGGTGCAAGCATACAGGCTGCTCATTATTTTTTCTAAATTATGTACCTTCATATGATTCAACCACTGTGTGGTTTTCATCCAATACATTTATTGTACAATGGAATTAAACACCATGACATTGCTCAAATTCTACTTTAACAAATAGACTAAGGTCATTTATCTGCGAATAGCGCTAATTTTGTTTTGTGTGCCAAACATTCAATCAGTCCTTAAATCAGATTAAAACACCAAAAATATACCTGTGCTACAATTTAACATTGTTGTTGAACATAAAGAAACAAGCGGAAATACAAATTCGTTTTATTATTGTGTCTGAGAAAACAAATACAGCCAACTTTTAAAGAAAATATGCAGAAAAATTTTTAAGGGAGTGTTATTTGAATAGTATAATTGGAAAACCAGATATTTGTTGAATGTTTGAATATTTTGACTTGTGATTCAGCTTAACAAATTGGATTTGAGGTATTTTTGTGGAGATCTTGGTGAGGTGGGTGTTTGAGTCAGTGGTGTGTGTCATACATATGATTCTGTTGTCATGGTAATTGTTCTTGAGTAGGTGGCTACTAATTACCTTTGTCTCCAAGTTTATTTGCTCACAAGTATTTAAAAACTTCCAACCAGCAATAAAATTCACTCTAAAAGTGGAAAACGAATCCGAAATTCCCTTTTTTTGATAGTGAACTAACAAGATGACCCAATGGAACCCTAGGAAAGTCGTTCCATGCAAAACCTACTTGGAATGGTCAACTAACAGGTTTATACAGTTGCGTGCTCATTGGACGAAAATAAAATCTAATTGAATCCCTTGCCAGTTGGATCCGTGGCAACTGCAGAACTAGATCTTCTGAAAGGAAGCTTCATCCAAAATAGATACCCACCGAAAATTCATCGACAAGAATATCAGACCAAAAGTCCAGGGGTACTAAACATCACTTCTTCCAAAAGAGAAACTTTAAATGAACCTCTATTGCAAGGGATACTTAGACTATGATATCCTTACCAGGAGAATTTCAGCATCTCTGAAAATAATATTCTTTTAAGTGACGTTAAAAGTATCCTTCTTCAATAGTCCACTGCTCTACAGAAACCTGCAGGAAAAGATATTGCATCTGACCACTTCTACGTGAGGATAACAGTTTACCTGCAAGCGTGGAGCCAGGTACATTGCCATTTTGACATGCATCTTATCCTATCCACAGAAAGGTAGTAGTGGTTTCATATGGAGTGTGATAATCAAACACCCTGTATCAACATCGGGCATTCCATCTCAACAAACGCCTCCTTCAAAGTATTCTAAAGTGAAGAATAACCTACCGAAGGCAATACGCTTTCGTCTTCTTTATATTTTCGGAAGCTTTAGCCATTCAGTTAGAAAAACCAAAGTTACGCATACAGGAGAAAATTATTCAATCAGCCAACAGCCTTGTTGGTTTCTACCAACTTGATTTGCACATGCTCAATTTCGCTAACCCATTATAACTCTTGTTTAATTTTATGGTGTCACCCTTTCTATCGTTTAATTATAACTTTGCTATTTTTATTTTAGTTGTTATTACTATTATTACTATAATTTTATACTTTATGCGTATTTTTCTCCGTACTCCTTACAGTAATCTGCTAAATAGCTGCTATAAAAACGTTTTGCTATCATTATTATGTAATGATTATTTCTTTTATTTATTTTTTTGTTGTCTTTTTTGAGTAAATTAGATGCAATATTGTACTGAATGCTGAAAATTCCTTGCTGTATAATTAGTACTGTTTTTGGAATAAAGCAAATTATTATTTTCTTTAGAACGCTTGAGTAATCCTACTTTTCCTAAGTTTCTATGTGCATCCTGATTACAACTCACGCATTAAACTTTTTTTGATTATAGCTTGAAACCACACCGTATTTTCGGTACTAGTATGGAAATTTCAGCATGTAATATCCGTAGCCCAATTTTGAAAGCCAAACATTGATATCGGACGTGCGTCAGCAGGGGATCAAACCCTGGACCATGTGCATGGTTGGCGAGAGTCCCAACCACCGATGCATTATTCATCTTATCACGTAACTCTAATACGCTGATTAAAACATCTATCAGGGACTGACCAGTATTCGCAACTATGATTATGACAACTCACTACACATTTATTATCACCTTCTTTCGTGAAAATTTGTATATAAATCCAATTGTACAGCTAAAGATGAGAATGAAATTGCCGAAAATAACGTCTTCTCTGAACTGTATGTCTTTTTTTCATTATTGTCTGGGTAGGAATTTTTCCTGAACCTATAAGTGGAATGTGCCTTAAGAGGTAACATACCAGCAGAGACTTATTGAATCCCTTGAATAATAGTAAACAATGAGAAATTCAAAACATTAATAAATACGAAGTGATAAACATCGCACAGAATTGGTAGGATTAATACCTCCGTAACCCAGTAGATAACACTGGGAAGTGTATCATTATTTTACTGATGAATTCGAGGTAGAATGAAACTAGTGTCTTTTATAAATCACTGCCATAAGATGTATAATCAAGTCAGAAGTGGAAAAAATGTTGTGGAACTCATTTAGATATAAAAAAAGCCTTGTGCGCCAGTGATTCAAGAGTAGAATACTCGTCAACCATGCCAATCGTAGTTGGGGTTCGACTGCTGGCTAAGACACTCCTAAACTTCACTTAGCCGTTAGATAGACTGGTAAGATTTGAAGGTTTTAGGGCGTGAGGCTAGCATACCCACCACAGTGAAGAACAACCCTGCTTCCGACGAAGCTTCAAAGAAAACTCAATGTTCCAATTGGAAGGCAAGGAAAAGAAATATAATGAGCTGACATCAGTTAGAGAACCACTGCAAAACCAGCGCTGGAGTACTGGACAGCATGCTGTTCCGTCCTAGTTTAGGACTCTTCAGCACTCACAACCAGGGTTCAAACCCAGAACCTCCCTCCTGGTTACAAGGCTAGCGAGTCCGTAGACCATTAAGCCACTGGGATCCAATCTAGTGGCTGATGAATTCTAACTGCTGCCAATTCAAAACATAGCACGACCACTTCGCAATGTCTTCTTCAATGAGTTACTGCCTCACCTTCAACCTGCTGCACCCTACTGGTTACGACGTCTCACTAGAAGCTTGCGTTGTAACCAGGAGGTCCTGGTTTCAACCTATAGGGGGGGTGCGCACTGAGAAGAGACCCAAACTAGGAAGGAACATCTGGATGTCGAGTATTCCATCACTGGTCTTTCAATCGTTCTCTAACTCATGTGATCTCATGATGAAATCCTCCAACCAGTCAAACGAAATCCCTACAAAACCAATACTTGAAAAATGAAATATAAGTATGAAGAAGACATTTAGCAAACATTCAACAATTTTGTTTTTAGTTCTGGTACGTTCTAATCAGGCGAAGGAATCATTCATTGAGTTAAACATCATCTAGTGGTATTTGACAAAATAATCAACCCATAAGTCATCATAACATTTTTTAAAATATCTGTTAAGAGTATTTCACATGAGAATGATGTTAGCTGGTGCATGAATCCAAGATGCTCGCTTCACCCCATCTGGGACAAGACAAGAGGAATATACCCTGTGTCGTCAGTGGGCAATAGTGTTCCAAAACAGAAATTCAAACCCAGCATCTATCGTTTAAAACGCCGAAGCGTTATCCACAATGGTCTCGGGGTCTCACGAGAGCTATCTCTTGTGCAACGAGTACTACTTGTCATCGGTTGAAACTATTTTTGTCCCCTGTATTTTCAGTGAGAATGCTTCCACGATGCTCTAAGATCAACACGATGCTCCTCAATAGTATAGTGGTGAGTATCTCCGCCTGTCACGTGGAAGGCCTGGGTTCGATTCCCGGTCGAGGAGCTGGCTTTGAGCGTCGGTGGCACAGCGGTTAGGACTCTCACCGACCATGCACATAGTTTTGGGTTCAGTCCCCTGCCGATGCACACCCGATATCAATGGTCGGCCTGCTGAATTTTGGGCTACCGAAATCACATGCTGAAAATTCCATACTTGTATCAAAACTACGGTGTGAAATCAAGGTATAATCAAAAATATAAAAAATAAAATAAAAAATATTGTTCATTTCGGCTAAGAGTATAAAGTTATTGAAGTAGAATACTATACTTATGTATGTATATATATAATAACTGGATATAATAATTCATAATTTCTCTCTCTCGACTTACTTCATCCACAGATCTTAACCAATATTTACGTATTTGTTCAAATGATTCCAAATCTGTGACATCATAAACAATTATGAAACACTGATGCATGCCAAAGTAACAAGAAAGAAAAGAAGAAAGAAAGAAAATGACCAAACTGGCAAATAAATAAATAAACAAAAAAAGTAATCACGTCAAATGACATCTGACAAATATACAACATAGATAATCAATCATATATTATTGATATCAATAATCAAAGAAGTGTTTATAAAAGGCAAATATGGCTGATCATATCTTTCACCCTAGTTTCAGGACTTTTCAACAGTGCGCATCATCTAACATTCTATAGTGGAATCTACAAAATTTAACAGTCAGCAAGAACACCTGAGAGTAAACAGATAACTCTTAAAAATTAAACCGATACTGTCGAGTGACTGGCTGCAGGACAAAGTTGCCAGAAGTTCTAGTGATACGTCGTGATCGACGCGGTCCACCAGGTCAGGCGTGAGGAAGAATACTCGCTGATAACACTGGCTGATGGACGCGCTAAAATCACGAATAGGTAGAAGTTAGAATTCATGGGCCGTTGGGTTGGGTCGCAGTAGCTGAATGGTTGCAACTGAAAGGTTCTGGGTTCGAGTCTTGGTGGGTTGGTACTGCTAAACAGTCCCAAACTAAGAAAAAATAGCTGTCCAGTACTCCCTGGTTGGTTTTCAGTGGTTCTCTAACTGATATCGATCCATGATCAAACTTGAAACAAATCAAACCTCCACTATGTAACTCTTGTAAACAGACAATATCGATCACTGCCTAGTGATCGATAAATAGATCCATCATAGCGCTGTAACTTCAGAGGGGACATGAATTCCTTTAAGGTTGTGGATACACCCTACTGACGAATACCTACAATCGCGGAAACCTACCGCAGGAGTTCCCCGGACTTCTTCCAGCTTTCTGACATCAATCTGACATTTAACACGATGTTGAGTCACCTAGCTCGTTGACCACATTTGCAAACTTGACCAATAGGATTCAACCGTAGGTAATACCCAGGACTAGATCCCACTGTAAGCCATCACTAAACAAGTGATCTGTAGTTAATTATTCTGATGCCATCTAGGTATATATACGAAAAAAAGCTAACGAATTTACTTCGCATATATCGACGGGAAATTACAAACATGCGTTTGTGGCACAGTGGTTATGACTCTCGCCGACAATGCACGTGGTTCGGGGCTCGATCCTCTGCCGACGCACACCTGATATCTATGGTCGGCCCGCAAAATTTGGTCTACCGATATCACATGCTGAAAATTCCATACCTGTACCTAAATATACGGTGTGCAATTAAGTTGTTAAAGAATAGAAAAATAAAAATCTAATCTTGGTTCAAGAAGTCATAAAAATCGTTAAATGGTGCAGAGTCCCTTGTCTACACCAGGACCTGCTGCACCAGCTGGTGTTTACTTATCCCAAACCATAAGAATTTCGAGGTTTAAGACTACTTAGCGAAACTAAAATTTATGCTTTAAAAATTGATTAAAACCGTTACTCACTTTAGCCTCTCGAAAATGTAGAGATACAATAGAATGGTATTGTTCTTGACCTGCAGTATCCCTGAAACATAAAAAAGAAATATCCATTGAAATAGATGATGATAATGGCTATTCTCGCCTAGATAACTTCTTCTAATTGATATTATTGAGAATGACATGCGAATCTGAATCACCCCAGAATTCAAACCAACAGTCTCCGAACTACTAATCGAGGATACTCTTACAGGTGAACCGCAAGACTCAGCTGCTAACTGGATCATCATTTCCTAGGAATCACCACAGGTGATTTGCAGTTGTCATATGGATGAGTGGTACGTCTTACTGACGGTTTGTCAGTAGGTAGCTCCTTCCCTGATTATACTGAGGTGAGGAGATGCTGTTAAATGATGGTCAGAATATTTGAGACAGCGGAGGTTTACCAGTGATAATGACCTAGTTGATACTCAGGTCTCGATGCTCATCTGGTAGTCTGCCAACAGGGTAATTTGGAGTCTTGTTCTGCTACGAACAAGATGCTTACGCCGCTTATAATCATCACTCATAGTAGTCTGCCGACGCAAAAATGGCACACACACAGTTTCATTACCACTCACATTACCATTAAATTTAGGAGTCACTGTGGAAAAGACTTCACTCGTTCGAAGTTTCATACTTGCTGCTTCTATTTGAGCAATATATTCCTGTAAATTTATTCTTCGCACACTAACTTACTTGAGACAACATTGGCATCAACAATTTTACCACAGAGACACTAAAACAATTCCTAGTATCCTATGATACGAACTACAATATGAAAATCGGTTATCCAACAGTGAAGTAATGTAGCTGTGTGGTTCTGTCAACTGACTACGGACAACTAACCTTGAAAAGGCTTTATCGCAGATTGGTGTCACCTAGTTCACCCAACCTGCTGAAGTGATGAGGGAATTTTAAGTGGTGTTTATACTACACATGGCTAGTACTCATTCTCCAACCAGTTGTAACGACAGAAGACAAGGGCCTGGCAACAGATTGTTTATTGACAAAATCAACAGATACTTATAGATTTTTATGTACATTATTATTAGCGTTATTGTAAGCAGAGAAGCAACGTCTTCTGACTGGTTGTTTTCTTGCTGAAGGTTATTTTATACTACTGGTGACCGTTTCTCAGAAAGTTAGGCCATATATCTGCGAATCGTATTTGCACAAATTAAGTCTGCTATGATTGGTTTTTGAGTTCCCCAAGGTTAAGCCCTGTTATTGTTTTGTTCTCATGACTCAAATGGAATTGATCAAACAATTTGAACAGACGTTAATAGAGAGTCTGTTGGCTCAGTTATGTGATGTTTAAAGGTACATTCAACACTGAAATGTTCCACCCTCTGTAGTGATCGAACTTCCCTTCTCATTATCGGATCATAAAAGCTAACTTATTACCCTGAAGGAGTTTGATTGACGTCATATACGCTGCATTTCTGCTCAGCGAAGACAAACGCCTCAAATGGAAGCTTAATTATGTTCAGTATTCAACTTATTGCTGTCATGTAAATGTCATGTTTGATTCTCGAAGAACACTCCTTTTCTCAAGCTTTGTCTAGCCTGGAAAAGAGAGAAGGTTAGGCATACGCCTACCAAACACAACTTGTAAAGAAAAACAACATCGCTGCTACTGGAAATTTAAAGCTTGAAGCTCTCTGAGCCACTAGGAATTCAAGGTACGGAAGGAGAAAGAAAATAATCATTATTTGTCCCCATAACTTACCACACTTCCAGCTGTATACGATGACTGCCAACAGTGAATATCTTTTTTATCAAGTCAATGCCTAAAATGAAACAATGATAGAAGGGAAATTTATTATATTTCTCCAAAGGTTTTTCTATCTTGGTTAAAATGTTAGAAGAGTGGAAGAGATGTGTAGATAAAATGAATATTTTTGATGTCATTGTGTCCGTTTCAACTGGATGTGCTTTCTCCTTTGAAGACTTTTACATGCATGTCATGCCTTTTGAATGCTTATCTGTGATCATGTATACGTAGACGAAGTGGACGTCAACTTCAGCAGTTTATGCAGCTTATTTTATAGATGAAGTTAGTGTTGCCTCCATTTCGCGACTGGATAATATGGTTTAAATAGTATGGAGTGGACAGACAGTATTGTATTTCGACAGTTCATCCAAAACGTTTCAATATTCTAACAGCAATTTCGGAAACGTTCTTCGTGTAAGTTTGGAGAACTTTACTTGGTTTACAGAACATTCAATTTTCTGGATATCCAATTCTGTGAGGGACGCTCATAAAATGACTGTCATGAGTTCTTGTCTAGCCAGGAGGGCTGCAGTATGTTCTGGCTCTATTAGTCCTGCTTCGTCCTATTAGGTGCTTATCAGCTGAATTTACCCATATCCCTAATAAATTTTTACGTGCCTACTGAGACTCGAACCCAGTACCCAACACCGAAGCGTTTCTCACTAAGTCAATCAGCCACTAGTTATTTTACTTTATTCTGACATCTTCTTCTGAATTCCTCTTGTTCTGTATTGATTTTTATCATCCTGTCAACTTTTCAAAGTGATTTTTTAAAAACGCCTTCTGGGTTTTCTTTTTCATTATACTTTTTTTAAAATTTGCATAATATCTATCATGTAAAATAATTCTACACTGGCCAAAAATACAAAATTTCACATATTGTCAGATGTTCAATATATTCATGTGATACTGAGTGGAATGTTTAAATTTCAACAAATCATCAAAGAGTCTTTTAAGGTCAAATTATATAAACATCATTTCAAAGATAAGTGATATATATATATAGAGGTTGAAAAAAAGCTATCGATAACTAACAAAAATAACCATGATATTATAATATCAAGTTGAGTGACATTCAGAATAGTTTTATTTCTTAAAAATGTACTCAAAAGAACTAATCAAAAATTGAGTAACGGATGTAAGATTCAGCATATTTCATGCCTTTTTTCAGTAATAATCACTGTTTATGAGTTGATCACGGATTGATATCAGTTAGAGAACCATTGAAAACCAGCCACAGGAAGTACTGGACAGCTGTTTTATCCTAGTTCGGGAATCATCGGCAGTACGCACCCACTAGGATTCGATGGTTCTCTAACTGATATTAATCCATGATCAATTCATAAAAACAAAACTAACCCTTACAAACCAAACTATAGAAAAATATTAATCTGATGCTCGCTAGTGACTTGCTACAGGATGGAGTTTCCTGGAGTTCTAGTCAGAAGTCGTGACAAGTGAGGTTCAACCAGATGTCACCTGTGAGGATGGATATCCCACTGACGATATTGATTGGGTTCGCTCTAAATCACGAATTGGTAGAAGTTATAATTCATGGTTTGGCCATTAAATCGGGTCCCAGTGGCTGAATGCTATACGAGCCAGTTTGCTATGTAACCGGAAGGTCCTGGGTCCGAACGCTGGCGGTGGGTGCATACTGCCGATGATTCCCAAACTAGGGTGAAACAGCAGTTCAGTACTCCCTGGTTTCGAATGGTTGTCTAACTGATATCAATACGTGATCAACTCGTAAAAACATAACTAACCCTAACAAACCAAACTATGGAAAATAATCACTTTATTTGGACGGGTAAATATTATCTGATGATAGTGATATGTGGATAATATCTGATTCTAATCGGGCCTATCCGTCCAGGAAGCTTCTGTTGAATACATAGGCTTATCTTATTTGACCACAGATGCTAGAGTCCGACTTCTAGTTTCAAGCTTGATCACGGATTGATATCAGTTAGAGAACTAGTTAAAATCACCAGGGAGTACTGGACAGATGTTTCGTGCTAGTTTAAGACTCAACTTTAGTATGCACTCACTTCCATCAGTATACGAGGCAAGCTCGTAGACCATTCAGCCCTCGGCATTCGCCTCAATGGTCCATGAATTATAATTCCTACCAATTCGTGATTTTAGCGCGACCACCAGCCGATGCTATCGGCTGAGTGGTGTACGAGCTTACTTTGTAGCCCGAAAGGTCCTGTGTTCAAACCCCGGTGAGTGTGTACTGCCGATGATTACAAAACTAGGATGAAACAGCTATCCAGTACTCCCTACTGGTTTTTAGTGCTTCCCTAACTGATATCGATCCGTGATCAAACTTAAGACTCATTAAAATTCGATTTCTAGTGTTGGATCTAAAGCACCTGTTACACATACCGATCCACCGCTTTTCTCTTCGAGAGATTTTGGCTGACGTAGGATTCGGCTAGGAAATGATAAGCTGCAGCCAAACCTTAACATGTTGCCAATCTATGAAGTCATAGACTGAAGATTTGAGCAACGTTTAGGGGAATGTAGAATACCTCTCTGTTTGGGATTCTGGAAACTCTAAGAACCAATAACTGTAGGCTCTTAGTGACATGTCACTAAAGTACTCGCATTGTCGTAGATGTACCCACTGTTCGTGATTATTCAGATTAAGTTAATTATAATTTTTCTCTGTGTGAATATTGAAACCGTTTGAAACAGATATAGCACACAAGTCAGTCAAAGTGGTTTGCTGGCTTTTACTTGAAAAAAAAATAAATTTATTTATTTATGTACTTTAAATCCTTGAAATGACAAGTTGATAGAATGATAGAATTTGATAAACTGACGCCTATAGGGTATATTGGAAAGTTGTTAGAAGAAGGCGTATATAGGGTAGGGTGTACGCATGTATAAATGAATTATAATTTGAAATAAATGCATTCGAATATTGTTATGATTTGTTTGTTTTGGCTCAATAGTAATTAGCCAGGCGACTTGCCTTAAATAGTTAGTTAGAGTAATGGGATATGGCTCTTCTTGTCTTCTATGCTTTAACTACGAGTGAGTCATTCATGCTGATATGACTAATCGAAACAGTTTCAGTTAATTTGTGTCTACAATGATTACCATAGGGGGTTGTGATGTACTCGTAATTTAATGATAGAATAGTCGCCAGTCATGCAGAAGGTTCATGTTCAGTTTCATACAAACACAGTCGCCTGCTTTACTAGCCACTTCATACAGACGATATCCAACAATCTAAACATGGTTTGTTATCTTCACGCATTCATTCACTTGACACTGTGAAAATCACCTCATGCTGAAGAAATATGATTAAGTTGCTGTGTATTTGAGCTGTGATTCTGTAAACTCAGGTTAAATATTACTTTGATAATAACCTGTGGCGTGGCCCAAATCTTCACTAACCTCATTCAACAGATGTACGATAGTGGCACGTGTCGAAGTGAACACAGGAGTAAGACAATGCTACTTACTTTTACCCATGATGATGCTCCTAATTGTGGTGCAGTGGAATATACGTCAGAGTATGGGGAGTGAGAAGACAGAAGCCTGGTACTCAAAGGAATATTGGATTAACAAACATGTTAATATAGACCAAATTTACCACCAGCTAATAAAATGTAGATCATGTGACGAGAAAGTTTAAAATCCAAGTCAATAGAAAATGGCCAAAACAGATGTAAACATGGTTACCGGAAGACGTAATCCTATCACTCATGGAAAATTTAGATCAGTTCACTTTATGCTAAAATTTGCGCTGAAGATGTTGTGGATGATGAAAGCTCCACAACTAAACCAACCAGCTTAGAGAACACTATTAATTACAAATTCTTCTAATCAGACGTCTATGATTACTAACGTTTGTCTGCATTCCCCTTTTTAAACTTTATGTGCTCTTCTATGCTCTTTAAAAACCTTAAAACCTACAATTGCTTATATGGCTGTGACTAGAAGTCGTCTTCATCAGTGCATCACTATGACCTATCTGCGAGCCGAACATAAGTCCTTCAGTAATTACCGTTTCCAAAGAAAACTTACCAAAGAAGGTTTAATTTGATGAAAAAGTGTTCATGAACAAATAAAGATCACTTAAATTTAAACTTCCTAACGACTAAAGCTCACACAAACTTTAGGATACTCATCTTCTTCCCAACAGGTTTCATCGATAGGTATTTGTCATATGGCAGTCATACTAGGTTGTGGCTCAGTTTAACTTGACTAGGATGCGCCTCCAAAAGCTGACAATATAACCAACTCTTCGCTTGAAATTATCTCCTACACCGAGATAGACGCAAAAGAGACGATTTGAACGATAACTAGAACAGAATACGCGGTATATTACATCTACAAAACCTCAGAAATTTAAGCCACAAATAAACGAATCGAATCTGTCCAACAAGGTTATCATATCAGCACATGCATAAATCATATAGTCACAGCTAAAAAGGATGGTCGTTCATTCTAATAGCTCTGTTTAAACAATAAATTTCTAGACTGAAGAGACAGATGGTCTATTTTCAACATTAGTTGGATTCGAGAACTCAACGTGCTTCAAAAGTTACGAAGACAGTTCATTTGAAGCCATTAATTAGAGTACGTATAACTAAATATGTATAGTTCGAATTTTAGTGACCATGAAGCGAATAAATCGAGCTTTAAATATTAATGTCAAACAGAGTGCTTCTTCTAGTTTATAAAATTTCCGCGCGCTTCAGCAAAAGAATTTTCAAGTATTGGTTACAGGATTTCACCATGAGCTGACATCAGTTAGAGAACCATTAGAAAACCCACCAGAAAGTACTGAACAGTCAGCTGTTTCGTCCTGGTTTGGGACTCTTCACTGTACGCACCCACCAGGGGGGTTCGAACCCAGGACCTTCTGGTTACAAGCATTTTCATCGACAGACTTTTATCAACACCTATCCCATTGCCAAGATAACTGAAGGACAAGTGTCCAAAAAACGATAAGCAGCAAGGCACTCCTGGTGGCAGCGTCCCGGCCAATAACGTACTGCTCAATAAATATGCAGAAGAAAACGGAGATAGATCAAATAAAAGTGACGCACAAGGTCACATAGTGCAAACTACGTGAGAAGCGATTAGTTTGTCGTTCGAGGGTAACCTGGAGGAGATCCTCTGAGAAGGAGGGGAAAATGAAATCAATACCAAAGAACTTAGTGTTGCTGAAATCCTATGTTTCACTACGGACACAAGAAACGAATGATGGGAAGCCATGATCAGTAGAGTACGGCAGGTTGAAGATAAGGTAGTAACTCATCGAAGAAGACATTGCGAAATTGTCACGCTATGTCGTCAATTGGCAGAAGTTAGAATTCACGGGCCATGGGATCGGGTCCCAGTGGCTTAACGGTCTACTAGCTAGCTGGCCTTGTAACCAGAAGGTCTTGGGTTCGAACCCCCTGTGATGGGTGCGTACCGCTGAGGATTCTCAAACTAGGACGAAATAGCTGTCTATAACTTCAGCACTGGTTTTCCAATGGTTCTCTAACTGATGTCAGCTCTTAATGAAACCGTCCATCCAATCACACAAAATCCCTACAAAACCAATACTTGAATAATAGTAATAAAGAATGACGTAATAATAGTAAAACTTACCTATAGTTGATATTGTTGTCTGATAAAATGTTTCACCGACAAGTGTTCTAAGTATAGATGTCTTTCCGACACCAGAATTACCCAGCAGTAGCACTTTAAAGTGTGCATCAAACCGTTGTTCACCTGATCCTCCACCGGTTGTACCATTTACAGAAATTAATGGACCATTTTTTTTCAATTTCTTGCCGAAACCATTTTGTTGTATAATTTTGTTAACATAACCATTCTGTCTTGATGTTTTACGTAAAGGGGGTGTTGAATGACCATTGGTGGTTTGACCATTCATTATCTCTGAACTATTACGACCACTCGCACCACCAACACCAGTACCAGCACCACCAACCCCGCCGCCACCGCCACCGCCCCACCTCCATAAACACTTTCATTTAGATTAAATCCGTATGACATAATGACTGACTAGCTGGATGATTATTCGATAAATACAGTTGGTTTGTTTGTTTTCAGTTCTTTTTTCTTTTGTGAAATTTCGATTTCAAGGATTCAATTGTTATTTTATTAATTTAAACATATTGGTTGTTTCTTTATTTCGTTTTAACAAATTCAATATTCAAAAGTTCACTTTTGGAATTTAGATTAATCCATTTAGATGAAATGACGATCAATATCTGTGGAAGAGAAAAAAAATAGAATGAAATAATGGACAGGCTTAAGAGATTGAGAAACTAATAGTCGTTGGTCTAAGTCGGTGTTTCAGCGGTAGAACGCTCACAAACCACGCACAAGGTCCAGGGTTCGATCCTCGGATGACGCACTCACTTCTAAATCTCCCTAAGCCAGTAGTAATGTGGCGGTGAGATAAAGACAATGTGTTCCAGCAAAGTATTATTCTCACATATTCCCACTGTTCATTACTGCATAAGCAACAGAATACTGTGTATATTTGAACATTCTATTTCATATAGTTTAATATAATCCAAAATCACACGCTCAGTGATTGGTTAACGAATATAAACTGTGTAGATATATAAATAGCGGTTTGATCAATTGAAAATATACCTTGGCTTCTGTGTCTTGCCTTGATGTCGCTGTCTGATGACAAATGGAAAGCCCATGCCCTGCAGTTTTTAAAGAATGAGACATATGAATATTCTGGCAGGAATTACAGTCTGTTGCGGAGTTGTGAATAACGTTCAAGATCCGTCAGCGATAAGGTTGTTATTTGGAACGCTGCTGGGAGCTCGGATGACTGCAGCATATAACAGTGTGAGTTTAAACGTCGGGAAATACGCACTAGGGTCACGAAAACTGCTTCCAAAGTGGGAAGGACCATACATGGTCATTGGGAGAAAGGGTCACGTATATACCATCAGAAATGCAAACAAAGAGAAGCGGGTCAACATCATTGAGCTCCGTAACTCGATACAACAAGACAAGTTAACAAAGCTGCCAGCACCAAGTAGACTGAACCTACTTCAGTCGAAAGTATTTGATGAGGAGATGAGTGTGGTGATGTGATACGGACAATGTGTTCCAGTGGAATATTATTCTCACATATTCTCACGGTTCAGTACTGCATAAGCAACAGAATACTATGTATATTTGAACATTCTATTGCATGTCATTTAACGTGAGCCAAAATCACACGCTCAGTGATTGGGTGCCTTGACTTCTGTTGTTACAAAAAGGCCTGTAAAGAGAGGAGGCTGAGCGCGAGGCTAGCAACCTTACCCTGTAGAAATAAAGTGAATGCTACAGAAACTTCAAAGCTCTACTTTGAGGCTTTATGTTCCACTGGGAACGCGAAGGAATAAAAATTTCATTAGTCTAACTACATCACTTATTCACCAATACGCTTTTTCATACAGGTGGCCCAATTTACATTCTCCGTAGACGCAATTCCAAACCTCTCCTAATTAACAGGCTTAATAGTAAGCCTGAGAAGAGAGGTTTGAGGCCTTACTTAGCAAAAAATAACAGCAGTGTTATTGAAAATTCAAGGCTAAAAGCTTTAAATCCCATTTTTTACTCGGAACTCAATGTAATTGTACTCTCTAAGAAAGATGGTGTAACTAGGAAGCTGCCACTGTCTTTCTAGACAACATACTCAGTACCAAAAAATTTCAGTATAAAATGGATGTCTCTAAGGAGTGCGATAATTAAACACCTTGTGTCAACACTGGTCATTCTATCCCAACTAATGCCTCCTTCAGAGTTATCTACAGAGTGAAGAACAAACAACCTGCCAAAGACAATACGCTTTCATCTCCTTTGTATTGCTGAATTTTTAGCCTTTCATTTAGAAAAGCCACGATTGTGATAACAAACTTATTGATTTCTAATCACTTGATTTCTGTTTGTTTGTTTTACTAACTCCTGATAACTCTTGTTTTTTCTATTCAAGTGTTGGTTTGTAGGGATTTGATTGATTGGTTACAGGATTTCATCATGAGCTGACATTGGTTAGAGAAACATTGGAAAACCTGCAGGGAGTACTAGGCAGCGAGTCGTTTCGTCCTAGTGTGGGGCTATTCATCACTATGAACCTACCATGGAGAGTTCGAACCCAGGACCTTATGGTTACAAGGCTAGCAATCGCGTAGACCCAATCCAATGACCAGCAAATTAATTCCAACTTCTGCCAATCGACAACATAGCGCGACCACTAACCGATTTGATTGCTGGCGAGTATTTGTCGCCACACCCAACCTGCTGTACCCCACTGGTCGCGACTTCCCACCACAACCCCAGATGACTACCTACTTGAATAGGGCAGCGAGTCCCTAGTGAGCATCTTATTGATATTCAAGTGTTGGCTTTATGTTTTTCTCTACAACTCTTACGTAATTGCATATTTTTCATCATATTTGCATGCACATCCTGAACACGACATATTCATTAAATTATTCATCTCATGACGTAACTCTAGTGCACTAATTCAACTGGTTTTATTCACTGATTATTAGTAACGACCATGTTTCTGACAACTTATCACTTTTGTTACTACCCAATCGTGTGAAAAACCGTATATAACTGCAATTGTACAGCTCAAGAGTAAAGTGAATCCTCCAGAAAAAGAGCCTCTTCGCTGAACTGCTCATTTTGTTTCTTTCATTAATACCTGGATGGGGATTATTTATCAAATTTTAAAAAGTGGATATCCATGAAACTACATCAAAAATCATGCCTACATTCGATCAAGTCAACGGATGAACTCCAAATGACTCAATTTAAGCCAAAGGAAAATCATCTTTTACATATGTAAAGAACATTTCTGTAGACACTTCCAGACTTTCATTAACCATAAACCACCGAAATTACTTCAATCTATGCTATACTAACTAAGCGATGCAATAGCAAAAGCGGAGACGAAACAAACTTCGTCTTCAAAACAAACTTTAAAAAATAGGAGAAACAGTATATCAGTCAAAGTGGTCGTCCTTATCGTTTTCTCAGTAATGAACAGAAACCACTAGCTAAACGACAGCATAACAATTCCCTTACATCAATGCATGCAGACGACTAAGAATGCTGATTCGAATGGAAAGACGTAAAATTCCTACAAGCCTGATATTATTACTATTTATTATTTTTTTTATGCATTCCCAATGGAACATAGAGTGGTTTCAAACTAGATCTTTGAAGTTTCGGTAGCAGTAGTGTTTATGTTTACGGGATGAGATTGCTTAGTCTCACGCCCAACCTCTAATCTTTGCCGAGCTTATTACCAACTAAGCGAGGTTTAGGAGTGAGTCGGCCTGGTATCGAGTTCTGGACCACCTGAGTGGCTGGCAAGCATTCTACCTCTGAGCTACCGAAGCACTGATATAGACACACTAATATAGATGTCAGATTTATCAAGCAGTTAGAAAGCAATGTCACAGAGAGAAGGTCAAATATTTAATCCATACCAACATACAAATAACAAAGAGAATAAGAATATCTTCGAGGATAACCAATTACCTTCAAAAGTAACCATCAAATCAGAATTCTAGAGGCTCACTTCATATAAAAGTAGGCGCTGAAGATGTCTAGAAAGAACACTACAGCTTTATAATTAAACTATCGAATTGAGAGAATACAACTATACCTATATCTTAATCATTTATATTGCATCTCTCGCCTACGCCAAACAGTAAAACAATTACTATCTATCTACATTAATTCAAGTAGCACTTGATTTCGACTTTATGTTCAAGTATCATATTTGTAATAGTAGAAAGAGTCTTACATACATACAGAAAGGTCTTGTATTCATTCATCCGCACAACTGTAAGTGAAAAATATATTAAGGCAGTATGGAATAAGTTAATCCTATTGATTTCGACTTTCAGTGTACTTTGAGCTAGGAATGTATCTGTATACATTGATAGACTAACCCATTTTTATTCTTCAAAAAACAGCACAAATGAATGAATACAAGAAAACGTGTTTTATAACTAGATCACGTATTATTTCTGTTATCTAATCTAACTGACTACCTCGGTGGTACAGCTGTAGAATTCTCACCAATTCTCGCCTCATCCCCGGCCACAGACGCACTCCTCCTTTACCTCGCTAAGGCAGTAAGTAATAAGACTAGTAAAGAAGGAAGGTTTGACATGAGGCTAGCAACCCCATCGTGTAAAAATAAACACCACTGCTACCGAAACTTCTGAGCTTTAGCTTGAAGCCACCCTATGTTCCACTGGGAACGTAAAAGAATAAAAAATCGAACTGACTGGTAAGGTATCAGTTGTTTTCATTCCACGACTTCTGAGTGGAATACAGGGCTCCAAGCTTTGAAGTTTAACTAGCCATGATGTTATTAACTCTCAAAGGGTGGGCTTGATAGCCACGTGACCAACCTTCCCTCCTCTCCAGGATTACTACTGGAAAGTAAGCCAGACAGAGTTTAAACAGTCCGTCGACTAGGAATCAAACCTTAACTTCGTGTGTGGTTAGAGTGGATTCCATCATAGGACCCCATCAATGCTGTGAACTTCTGTGAACTCTCACTGGTGTCAAGAAAGAGTCGAATTTTGACTAATTTCCAACCAATGACAATGAATGTTAAGTGCTGAATAGTTCTAGATTACGATGGAAAACAGATTTCCATTTTTCCTTGATTTCCATTTATTGTCTGACTCATGTGAATACAATATAAGCATATTTATTTATCTAAGCATAAAAAATGTATTAAACACAAAATAATCGAGAAAAGAGTGTTCTTTTCGATAAATTCCTTTTCCGGCTCTCCAATTATATATTTGTTTATATACATAGAATATTCCAGTTTAACTGCTCCAGTGGAGTCAGATACATAGGCCGTACAATTTAGCGTGTTTC